TGAGGAATCTGCACCCACTTTATGTGCTGTTCTCATGTCTGTCTCCTGCTGTCTCCACACCATGGGAACGCTGTCTCATGCACATGCTTAGAGGGAATGCAGGCTGCCTTTCATTCTATTATTTGTAATCCTAATCTAGGTCTGTTCTGATCCCTATATTGTTCTTCGTTGAGAGGGAAATGATGACTCTGATAACAGATGAAGACCTGGCCATGTGATTTTGCCTCCAGCTGGAGAAGGACATTGGTAAGGTGGATCCTGTGCTGAAGGCTGTTGTAGTCTCTACAATATCAATCATGACAAAAGCAGCAAGGGGGTTATGGGCTGGAAAAGTACAGAAACAAAAAATGAAAGTGACCTTGCATGTGCATGAAGGAAACTGAGAAAAACAAAAACATTGCCTGGTTCTCAACTGAACTTCTTCACGAGCAGCTGCAGCATCCCCCTGAGAGATGTGTAGGCTTTTGTGTCAGTGCATATCACTGTGAGGGCCAATTATCATCCTGCTGACACAAGTAGTATGCAGAACCCGAAAGAGATCCCAGAGATGAGAGTTGTACCACCTCTAATAGGGAACTTAGGAGCTTCTCATGGCTTCTGTTGATACCAGTGCATAGCATCATCCATGTCTGTGCTGGCCTTACAGCCCATGGTGGATTTGTCTCCTACAGCTGCTGAGAAGAGTGCTGGAGACTGTGTGAGGATAGTTTCTGCCAGGGAATCTGCTACAGGATGAAATACGGGATATAAGTTTTATGCATCCTATTTGGAGAAAACAAAGAATCCATTTCTTATGAAATGTAATATTTGGTGTAAATTCTGAAGACTTAAATCCATGCAATAGAGGAAATGTTTCTCTTACCAGAAATGCAGAGGAGGAAGAAATGGAGGAGCCGAGCTTGGGAACCCATGACCTTTGCTCTGACCTTCAGCTGAGAGTGGGTTTCCACATCAGTCCATCAACATGTGTTGTATGGCTTCAGAGGTGCTGGGGGGGTGACATATGGGAGAAATATGCAAATTGTATTCTGTGAAGTAGTGAGATGCAGAGGCAGTTTTGAAGTGGCAGAGACCAAAGTTTCCCACAGAAGCAAAGCATGATTTCATCTTCACATCTTTTTCTGGTATGAGAGAGGTAAAAAATTAATTCCAAGCTCTGGGACTGCTATCATCTCTACAGTCCTTGCTCTTCTACAACCAGACTCATTCATTTGTGGGATGTATTGTTATATTTTCTGCTGTTTTGTTTATCTGTGCCGGCAGGATTTAATTCCATGGATACTTTAATACATGTTGATGTTGATGCTTGTAAGTAGAAGCCTATTCTGTCTATTGTGATGGAATCCAGATCAGAGATGTGGCCATTTATCACTCTTCATTGCAGCAAATATAGTCTTCACTTCTCATTTGCACTTTTATTTTACATTAAAACAAATATTATTTTGCTGAATAATGATTTTATTGAACTTTATCCCTAAATTCTGGGAATTGGGACTGTACACCTTTTTTTCTCCATATTAAATATCTGGATTGTTCATTCTTCATAGTTAGTAGGAAGAAACTCTGTGTCTCTGTGTTGCTTTTCCCTCTACAGAAGGAGAAAACTGAGGTAATTATTGAAACACATATGATCACTTCAGCTCCCTGTCATTTTAAACCTGTAGGATGCAGGGGGACATAGGACTTAGCTTGACCCAGCTGAGGTCACTCTAGAGCCCAAAGAATAACGTGTTGATTGGTGAATGTCTACAAGGTTTGAAGTTCATTTTGTAATTATATTTAGAAATGACAGATACAAAAAACAGCTTACAAAATATAGTAACTTAGAAATCACATAGTCATACCTTTTATTCCTGTCCTCTGATTTGCTAAAAGATCAAAAAATTAATTCGATTCAAATCTTAGATATCTCCTGATAAAATAAGGGATTTGATACTAGAATAATGTTTATAGAATTAAGAAGCAGTTTTAAAATATCATTTTGAGAATATTGAACTTCAATCTTTCTATCTCAAAGAGTTTGATACGCATTTCTTTACCAGAAGAAGTGTGCTCCTCCACACCACCTTGGAGACAAGTGGTTTCATCCATTATTTAATTCTCTAGCCATTCAGATAGCTTGGTGCTTTTTCTTAATACCTTTATTTCATATTGCTCTCTGTATAAAAACACATAATAGGTCTTTGGTGACAAAGAAAAGTAAGAAGGCTTTGTTTTAGATGGAAGTAAATCAAAGGCTTACTTCCTAGGAATTTTCACAAACTGATATGCTTTAACTTTTATGTTCAGCTAATTATCTCCATCTTGACTCTATGGACATCTACTGATGTATTACAGTGTTTTCAGGTGAGTGTAGCATCTCATAAGTGATTTACAGACAAGGATCACACGAAAAATTTAAGAAAGCAAATTGTGTATCTGGACATTAATGAACATTAACGGACATTAATCCTGTGTGGACAAAAATAATGTATCCAGAGATCAATGGACATTAATACTGAGCCTGAATAAACAGAGATATTATATATCTAAGAAAGAAAATTTTATAAATATGCATAGATATGCATATTTACCCATATTACTTGCATCATAAACTTTGATTATATAAGTGTACCCATTAATTAATCAAAATTATATACATACTTGTAAGAATTATATATTGATATATATTATATTTCTACATATACATTTAAAAACCTCTTTTTTGTCATACTAGGTAATGAACTCAATGCCTTCATACTGGATTACATACAGATCTTATTTTTACTTTTAGTCAGTGTCTCTCCTGCTTGATTTCCCTGAATGGGCCAAACTTGTGATCCTGCTTCAGCCTCAAGGGGTAGTGGAATTATAGGTGTGTGCCACCCTATCTGTTCATAATCTTTTATTCATGAAAGGTAGACTTAACAATTTATGATGGCTATGTCATGTATTAAAAGTATATTATGTTTATATTTTTTATTACTGCTGAATATGTTCCAATTATGGTAATATTCCAATTATGGTAATTTTTTCACAAGTGAAATTAATGTTGTTCTTATTATAGAGATATTTATTTATTTATTTATTTATTTTATTTTATTTTATTTTATTTTTTGGTTTTTTGGTTTTTCTCCGGTACCGGGAACCGAACTCACGACCTTGGGCTTGCCAGGCAAGCGCTTTGCCGCTGAGCTAAATCCCTAGCCCCGAGATATTTATTTTATAGGTAGATAAATTTCCTCTTTATATATCACTTTTTGATAAATTTTTAAGTATAGAGTTATAGGCCACTAGTTTGATAAATCAATATATCTGTATATGTGGATAGGTAAACACTATATTATTCAGCTTTGTCACAATAATTGTTTGTACTAAGCCCTGTCAAAAAATTAGGCGTTTATTTTCCTGTTCATGGATGTTCATATCAAGGATCATCTGGCGGACCCAGGCAGGGTAGACCTTGTTGGATCTTTCTGGGACATTGAGCTGATTTTCACCCTATAAATTGAGTTTCAGCTACACCCAGTGTCAGGGGGCTGAGACACCCGGGACACAGCCTCTCTCACAAACTGAGGAGTGAGGAAAATCCCCGAACCAGACAACTCTGGTAAGTTTAACTCTAATATCCTGTAACATAGCTTCCTCATATTTTGATGTATTCTTCCAATTTGATTACTATTGATGATTCTAAAATCTTTTATTACACTTAGTTACAAATGAATTTCATAACACCATTAAAGAATTAAATTTCTCAACATTTATCCAAATATATATATATATATATTTCCAAATTAAACTTTACATCGAGAGTAACATAAACCTACAGGTATTTTAGCATGAAGCTCCAAAATAAATTTCTTAAATGTCCACACTGAGGCAAAAATCTCTGAAATTATATTAAATATCCACTGCAACATTGCATTTTATACCTTCTCTGAATCTCTAACATGCTTCAGCAGTCTGAGGAGGGTCTGCATTTCTTCATTTATAAGGAGTTCTGATGACATTGGCAGTGTTCCCAGAGAAGCAGCAAAGCACAAGTATTTGGAAAAAATTCATTTAAACTGAGAAAGTACATTTTAAAAAATGTTTACATTTACATCATTTTAAGTACTTTTTATTCCTTTCAAACTGTTTTCTTCTTTTCTGTTTTGTTGCTTCTGTTTAGTTTTGTCAAGAAGGTTTCTGAAGTGTATGTGGATTGAAATATCACGTATAAATTCCCATATACTTCTTATACTCCTGTCTAATTTTCAGTTTAGTCTATGACTTAATGAAATTGTATGATATGACCCCATATTCACAGCTAATAAGTGGAAACAAATTCCAGCATATTTGGAGGCCCTCTCCATGCCTACAAAATATCTGCGATATGGGTCAATCGAGACATTATGGACTGTACTGTATCAACACATTCACCAGCACTTTAAGAAAATAAATTTCTCAGAAACTCTTATCCATGTAAGCTTTGCTGTAGAGGTGACAATGTAACAATAATCATCTGAGATTTAAAAGAAAGAACTTAGGCCTTATGAAAATCAGTGGGTAGCCCTACACGGAGAGGTGATTTTGCAAGTGATAAAATCTGAATTCTATCTCTGGCTCTCTCTGCAGGACAGAGACTCTAGGGCTGGAGGGTCCACTTGTTGATGCTATGCACTCTGGGAAGAACAGGGAAGACCCTATTTGTAGTACCCACTTCTCTCATTACTTCTCTCACTAGAGCGAAAACTGTTGAATGGGTTATAATTCTCCATATTAAAACAGTTTCTCTTGGACTAAGTTGAAAGTCTTCTGTTTTACTCAGTGAGTTCCAAATGATGCCACCACACAAAGTCCTGATACAATCATCTTTCCTTTGTATTGAGAAAGACCTGGTCTGATAGAACTGAAATTAATACCTAGTTTGATAGAACTGACAAGGAGGAAAGACTATAAGGTTTCAGAAGAGAATTTCTGGCATCTTATTCCAAACCCTCCAGTGACATTCAAAGCCTGGCTGCATCTAGGAAGGGATTTTAGCAGGTGGGGGCACCAGGAGGAGCAGCTGGGCAGCCCAGACTCGCACTTCTGCTTCTTCGGGAGGTTTTTGTTATGGCTTGAATCACTGTGGGAGGGGAACTATTATGCTGCATACAGTAATAAGTTGCAAAGTCTTCAGGCTGCAGGTTCCTGATGGTGAGAGTGAAATCTGTCCCAGACCCACTGCCGCTGAACCTTGACGGGACCCCAGATTGCAAATTCTTAGCATTATAGATGAGGAGGGTAGGAGATTTCCCTAGTTTCTGCTGGTACCAGTTTACGTAACTGCTAACACTCTGACTGGCCCTGCAACTGATGGTGACTGTGTCTCCTACAGAGGCAGCCAGCGAGGATGGAGTCTGGGTCACCTGGATGTCACATCGCACACCTGACACTGGAAACATAAACACAACCAATCAGGGTTTCAGAAAATGTCTCTGAAGAGGCAGGAAATAATGAACACACTGTGCTGAGTAAATTCCCAGGGCTGTCTTTCCTTCCCTGGGAGCCAGAGCAGCAGGAGCCCCAGGACCTGAGCGGAGACCCTCATGTTCATGCTGTGTCCCGACTGGATCTACCTCCTGCACAGGATGTGACAGCGTATAAGTCCCTATACTGCTGCGCTCTGGGACATGCAAATCAGCAGGTGTTGAGCTGGCCTGGCACAGCTGCAGGCCTAGCTCATTTCTGTCATTCAGGAAACTTTAAGTGACCCAGGCCTCAGGCAAGGCTCAGCTGGATCAGATGTGTTACAAAGACTGTTCCTCCCAGTGACCCACAGGACAAAGTCCATCTGCTCCTGTAGTGTAATTAGCTGGGTCCTGCTCTCTGCATGTTTCTGAACATACTTTTGTCCTGTTTCTTACAATATTCTATGGCAATGACCTTTGGACACGGGAGAAACTAAGGAAAACCTGGGAGTACATGATGGCCAAAATATAAAAAGAAAAATGAAGGTAATAAAATTTCTCAACTTTTTGAAGTGGTTTGGTTTTCTCTAGACACTAACAAAACATGGCTAAAATGCCCAGGTATGACCTAATCAATTACATGTTCTAATTCTCCATGCTACAGCATCCCCAAACACACACACACACACACACAAACATGAACACAGACAAACACATGACTCTGCCTGGGCTCTTAATGAGGTCAAAGTCTGTCCCAATAAACCTCCTCTTAAATATCTTCTCTGGATAATTTGGAGTAATTTAGAATCCAGAGCAAGAAACTGTAGCAGGGCTCTAAGCCATGAAGGGAAATCTGAATGTTGACAAATTTAGAATTGGTCTAGCTGTTTGGTGACAACAGAAAATGCTTTTGCTATTTTTCCACTTTGCCTCTATCACTACATAGACTTTTCAGTCATCGGCTTAAAGCCTTCCTCATTCTAGATGGTTACAGTGTCTCTAAGGATCAACCATTCTAACAACTACATGAGGGGGAAAACAGAGCAAAGCTCTTTACCATCTTCTTTTGGTCAGAACCTAAATATTTCCTGGTCTCTGGCCACTCTTCTCATTGCTCTTTAATCTCATTTTTCAGCTGATCCCCTGTCTCACAGTCATGCACCTGACTTCTTCCAAAGGAGGCCTGAGGGTCTGATGATGCACAGCAAGAAAGAGATGGTAATTAATAAACTGAAAAAAATTGGGATTCGTCTTAGATTGGTGTTTAACAGTAGTGCCTTATTTTAACATTGCTTTGCTTATGTTTTCTTGAAACAGATAGTTCTGTGGGAAACTTTATCTGCTCATGTTGAATCAAACCTGCACCTGAGAATGAGAATTACCCAGGTGGAAGTGCCGGCTTCAGTAAATATGGAAATAGACTTTCTGGCCCTGAAGTCAAGCAGAGATCTGGAACAGAGGCCTCAAGCCAGGCTGAGGTCAGCCTTGCACTGCAGAAAGCTTCAGGGTTGTAGCCCTGAGGCTGGGAGGAAACACCTCTTGTCCTGCCCCACAGGGGTGAGGACCAGAGAAGGAAAGTGCTCAAACCTACAGGTCCGAACTGGGCCCAGAATGTGAGACCAGGAAAAGTTTCTGAGAACCTAGGACTGTAGGGTCCAGTCCAGGTCTACTCAGAACTGTTCTCACTGTTTCAACATATAAAGGACAAGAGGAGGATCAGTAAAAGTTTCATCCCTGAGTCTTGTTTCAGCCAGGTGCTGCTCTGCTTTGAAAGATAAGGAGCTGTGTGAAACACACACATACACACACATACACACGCACACACACACACTTTATATGGGCAGTATGTTAACATAGTAAAGAGAAAAGGGGCAAACCTAAGGTGAAACTAAGTATCACAATTATCCCTTATCTTGTGGGATATTTTAAAGGTTGGATCTTGAAGGCCGTGTAGTGTGCTAATGTAACTGTGACTCAGCTCTGTCACATTGGGGTAATTGGAGATTTACTTTCATATGTTAGGTACAATAACTTTTTTCTCCGTGGTGAAATCTTTTTAATTTCTTGAATTTTGTTAGACTTTCAACCGTAGGCATAAATTATGATCGAATACACAGTGAACATATAAATTTAGACATTTGTGAGAGTAAAAAACACATTCCCATAATCCCCTGCAACACTGAAAGTACTTTAGTTTTGAACCCATGTGATTCTGTTCCATTGTTCTTGCCACACTTGGAAGCAGTTGTGAAAGTCTTCATCATGACTGTCTGACAGGGCCTGGTAGCAAATGCAGAGACAGCTGTTGTCAGTGCCCGCCAGCTTATGAGCAGGCTGTAATACCATTACAGTGGTATCTCCCTTTGCAGTGGATCTGGAGGAATGCAACCTGTGACTCTTCCCCAAGGTCAAAATTAACATGAACGATAAATGTTTTCAATTAATTCAGAACCCTGAGGCAGCCATGACAATACATTTAAAGAAACTCATGAAAGACTTCTAAAATTACTTTGGAAAGTAGAAAGAATGATTGTATAAATATGCTCAAAGCAAAGTGGAATAATCTGAGTGGTATAAATGACAATATGTCTTTTGTTATAATAAGTGATTTACATTGAATCATGTACCATATTTTGTGCTCACAGCTCATATAATTGAATCTATTTAGAGTGTTATCATCAAGGAAATGTATGTGTCTTGTAAAACCTAGCAAATATTTATGCAAGAAGAGCGCGCTTTTAATCATTTCTGAATAGCTTAAAATTGCTGTAACAATTCATATGAACATTTAGGAATACTATTTGCAGCATAAAAAAAACTGTTGGGCTACCTCAAGAAGACCCTGGTGAATTCATGCACTAAGCATTAGTTAGCAAAGATAATCTGTTCACCTTGGTAGAGGCTTTGAGGGTCATGCACAGCAGCATCAAGGGGCACAGATGGTGTTTCAGGTTCAGTACAGAGGCACAGGTGTGCAATGGATGTAGCCAAGGAACACGTGTGTGCTGAAAAAGACAATAAAGTTTTATCTTCAAGTGTAAAATCACAGATGGATTTTGATTGTATAAGATTGTTCAGCTCTTGTATTTCTAACACGGCAGAACAATATTGTTTTCAAGAAAGCATGAAGAGTTTTTCTAATCCTTGCTCCTCCCTGAATGCCTTTCTTGTTCTTTGCTATCAGTATCTGTCTGCGGTAGGTCATGTGGCTCTTCCTCATCTCTTGCTTCAAGGCAGGAGGGAAACTGCTACTCTGTTGACAGTGCTAAGTTGCCAGGTCTTCTGGCTCTGGGTTGCTGATTCAGGTGTGATTGAAATGTGTCCCAAATCTACTGTTTCTCAAACTTAATGGGACATCAGTTCCTAAACTCGTTTCATTCATGTTTCTCAGGACTAGCTGAAAAATAAATTGGGGATATTGCTAACCTCATTAACAAAATGTATGCTTAAAACTGAATGATCATCTCACAAATACTCATTTTCAATGTGCAAAAAAATAAATTAATATTTTCCTTTAAAATTATAATAATGAAATAACTCTTGACTGGAAGACATGGAAAAAATATTTATTCAATGATGTCTTGATGTAACTAAGATCCACCTCCTTCTCCCTCTGTACTGTTATGTGTTAATTCTATAAGAGAAATCCTTTACCCATATACAGTAGATTGCTGGAACGTGAGCTCCTTGTCATACCTCCTGTTTATTACTTACTTTCCATAAGAAATGTGAGGTTGTACCCATGTGACCAATATTAGTAACTCCCTCTTTGATAGATGACAGCAGATCACAGCAGCCAAAGGGGTGACTTCTCTGAAGAGACAATTGGATGTTGTGCACATCGTACCTGAATTAGGGTTAGGGTCAGCACACTCAAAAGGTAACAGATGTTTGGAGTGACAGCTGCAAGGGGTGAATTAAATGCCTTGGTGGAGGGGCTGGGGATTTAGCTCAGGGGCAAAGCGCCTGCCTGGCAAGCGCAAGGTCATGAGTTCGGTTCCCGGTACCAGAGAAAAACCAAAAAAAATAAAAAAATAAAATAAATGCCTTGGTGGAATGAACACAAATGTCTACTTTTCAGTCTGTACCCAAGACTGCAAATTGAGGATTAGAAAAGCAAAGTCTGCAGCACCAAATGTAATTGTGAGGTTCAGAGTCAAAACAGGTGAAAGCTTCTTTCTCTCCTTTAGCTCACAAATCCTTTAGATCATATGGTAAATGGTGCTGTGAAGTAATCATCAAATATAGTGAAATGTGCTCTGCTGCAATTGGGTACAATTTCTTTTGATCAGCTGAGTCAGAGCAAGGATTCTTTTCACTGACTGTGGGTTACATGTTTTCAAGCTGCAGAGACTCTTTTGGGTTCTTGTAATCATTTATTTTTCACCTTTTTAATTGTATTTGAAGAACTTTGGGATCACTGCCTCATATAGAATTTTGTGCTCTTTTGTTTTTGATAAGTTAAAATATAACTACCTACCTTCCCTGGGATATGGTCTTATTTCCCACGTCACCCACAGCAGAAACTGGAGGACACTGGGAACTTCAATCATACATTGGCTGAAGGTCACCAGGCCATGGTGCTTGGCTTCTGCTCTTCCTCCTTTCAACCCCTGTTTTTTTCTAGTGCATCTGAGACAACTTCTAACTTGAGTGATTCATTACCACTTTCAAACAATGTGCACCGCTGCTTCTACTTCAGAAATTAAATGCTACAGTTACCTAGAATTCTATACAGATTTTGCCAGAGAAATACAAAACCAACCAGCAATGACACATTGGGTGTGCAAATGCACTTGCACTGGAATCCATTATCTTAAAAGTGCAATAATCTGAATTATACTGATGTCCCTAACCAGAAGGAGGCTCGTGCTGTCCAGTGTTCATTTTGAAGTCTATCAAATGAAATTAGAACAAGAAATGAAATGACTGATTAGTCATCTAGATGTAGTGCTGGAGGGATATTTTCATTGAGATCTGTTCAAATCATAACTTTTCTATAGTATTACAACAAAAATGTAGGATTCAACTTTAGATAATAATGATGTCTTTTGAATATAATATGTCCTTTATTTTATTTACTTATAGCAACACAGTACCAAAAGCACAACATTTAGGATAAACTCTAAAACTTAACATCTGTTTGGAAAAGTTTTATTTTCTTAGTATGTGTGTACACTGTACTGATGATACTCATCTTAGAGATGTAACACATTCACATGGCACATGTTCTTTATTTTTCCATCTCCTTT